TATAATATAAGATGGTGTCTGTGGGATACCGGAGGGAGTGAGAGCTTTTTTATCTTCTGGATGGGAAAAAATGGAAATAAAAGTTGTTTGAATGGAGAATTTGGGCCTCTTTCCCTCCAGAGGGAAAATAAATTGATTGGGTTACTAGAGAATGGCTGCTTGCCAGAGTGGGATAATTTAGTTTGAGGTGAGGTGTGGTGTCTGTTGAGGTGGGGGAACAGTTTTGATGACACTCTGGAGTGTGAATGTGGGAAAATAATGACTTGATGGGGATCAAATCGAATGGGGATAATGGCTGAGAGGTTCCATTGGTGCAATATCCAGCGCTCCTCTCCTGCCAGTCAATTCATGTAACGTGGCCGAGCACCAGCTTTAGAGCATGCCGCAGGCTGTGTGAAGGTGTCAGGGATATGAATCATATCATACCCCTGTGTTCTTCACAAAGTGGCAAGCGCAGGCAAACTCAGGGACCGTCCCCCCCAGGTGGCAAAAACTCTAGGCACACCACTGGTACACCCTTACACTCTCCTTTTCCATGTATTAAAAGCAGGTAGCTGGCCTCTTATTATCATGATGTCATTTTCTATGTCCCTAGTTAAACATCTTGCATAGCATACTCTCCCACATTGCTTTCACTGTGGCTCGATAGTACACGCCTACCAATTTAAATAAACAAAATTTTGCGTGGTATGGGTCTTATCATCTCTAACATTTTAATTAATCTTATTTTCTTTTCTTTCAGTTTTAACAGTGTGAACACTGTTATTAACCTCATTGTCATCCTCTGTTATATGTTAAAGCCTGATAGTTTCTTATATATCCATTAAGGGGTAGCTTTAACCACTCCTCTCATTGATTAATGCTTGATATCGTTTGTAACTGTTTCGAATATGATGACATGTTGAATGTCAATTCTATTGTACTTCTTTAAAAAACAAACAAATGAGCTACAATCCAGCTTTGAACAGCTTGTTTTATTATGTGTGCACACATATTCTTACTGTTGCTTATCTCTGTATGTCAAATATTCTTATCGCTCAATAAAAATGTGATGGAAAAAAAATATGCCCTTTATCATCTACTTTACTTCATTTCATTATTCATCATCAATATTAAGAGCACAAAATAAAAATAAAAACTTCTTTATGCATAACCTTTGTGCCGCAACCCCGCTCATCATGGGTAATTCATAGAATACACAGTGGTTAATTACTGTGTCTAAACAGTTCTTAGTACAGCTACTGGTGCAGGCCCCATAGTTCCATATTAAATCATCATCCATATATATTTTTAATACAGAGTCTATCTGGATCCCATGTCGTGTATGTGCTCTGTTAATATTGTCTTTTGTACCATGTTGCACATTGCACAATTAAATTAAGTACATTTGAGAATCCACCTCGCTGGAATTGTTTGGTTTTCTTTTCTTTTTTTTTTGTAAATGTGATTTTTTTATTGAACGGTTGTTGTATCATACACAGACTTATGCATGGGGATCAGACAGTGTGCATGGAGACTCGCAGGTCTCTACGATATATACCATATGCCATATGCATCTGTGTGTGTTCGCAGGCTCACCATTTTTTTCCCCCCTTTTAGGTTTATTTTGAGCAATTGTTGTATCACACAAAGATTTATGCATGGGGATCAGATGGTGTGCATGGAGACTCGCAGGTCTCTATCATATATACCACATACCATATGTACCTGTGTGAGCTCGCAGGCTCCATGGTTTTCAGTGCTGTATTTTGGCTCGCGGGCCTCCTGTCACGCCTGGTATGTGTTCTTTCGTGCCCATGTCTTACAACCTTCCCTTTTTGCTATCTGTGATGTGTGTTTTTTCTGTTGTGATGTAGGGTCTGCGTTACTATACTCGCGTGTCCGGTGGCCTCTCTTTTATATTAGGGGTATGATATTCCCTGGAGTAATTGCTATATTACGTTCTTGTGTGTCTATCTCCTCACCTCCGTCTCCCTGTGTTCTTCTTAGCTGTTAGTTAGTCTGACCAGTTATCGTCTATGTGTCTGGTAGTTTGTTGTTGTGCGTGGGCGGTGTCGTGACGTGAGGTAACATCCCCACTCTATTAGTGGTCTGCCTCGTAGTCATTAGCTGTTATTGCGTTTCCTGTGTGAGTTATCTTGTCCGATTTTGCCTGTTGTGTTCGTGTCCCTGCGTGTAAGTTAGTACGTGTTTGTGGGTGTTTGCAACTATATTGTACCTCCGTCATTCTCTCTGTGTGTGATGTCTACTTTTGTTGTTTCTTTATATGTTCCCTTGCGTGTTTATCTGTTTTTCCCAGTTTTAGGGGGTTGGTATCAGTTTGCTCTTTACTCCTGTTCCACTTTCAGTTCCGTCGGGTGAGCTCCTTGCGGTTTCAACCTTCATTGCGGTCGTGTGCAATGAAGCTCTCTCTTCGTGTTTCCCCTGGGTTATATAGGGAAGTTGGAACAGGTTGGGGCAAGGTGGGGGGAGAGAGGGATTGAGTCTGCTATCTCCCTCAGTGCGCCCGGGCCTGCCCCCCCACTTTCACCCCGCCCCCTGTCCCAGTGCATCTCGTCTTCCACCTCCACCTAAGTGCTGTGTAGTATCCAGGGTGTCCACCTTTCCACATGTTTGTCGCTTCTCCCTTGGGAATCTGCTATTTTTGCCTCTGCTATCCTGATGTCGTCTACCCTGTGTGTCCATTCTTCTATCGTGGGTGGGTTTTCCTTTTTCCAGTGCAGTGGGACCAGGGACTCGGCCGCATTTAGTATCGACTTCCTGTAGGAGGGTATTGGTCGTTCTGTATGATGTAGAAGAGCGACCGCCATCGTCAAATGTGTGGGTTCGTCTAGTATCTGCTTGATTTCCCATTGAATGCTCCCCCAAAAAGGTTTTATTTTATTGCAGTCCCACCAGATGTGCCTTAAGGTGCCGGGTTCCTCCCTGCATCTCCAGCAGGTGTTCGGAATTGTCGGGTTGTATTGGTTGATCAGGGACGGTGTACGATACCAGTGTGCCAGTAGCTTATAATTTACTTCCTGGTAGTGGGAGCTGGAGGCGCTTTTGTGTTGTAGGGTTAGTATCTTCCCCCATTGGTCGTCCATGACGGTCTCCTCTGTCCAGTCCTCCCATTGTCTTTTGTATAAGGTGTTGTTAGTACGGTTTGACGTCAGTAGGTTTTGATATAATGCGGAAACCCTATCCTCCACCTCTGGTGTCTGTGTGCATAGGTTTTCGTACCATGTTAGTTCTCTGTGTATCTTGCCTCTGTGTGGTAGGTTGTGATAGTAGTGCTTAAGCTGGATGTAGTGGAATTGGTGCATTAGCCCGAAATTACACTTAATGGTTGGACTCCCGTATTGTTCAGGACTGTGTGTATTGGTATGTATCCATCTCGGTCGTCTATTGGCCAGGCATTCGGTGGAAGGCTGTCTCCCAGGTTTGGGTTGTACGTGATGGGTATCAGGGGACTGGGTTTGGGTGAAATCTGCTGCTCCTTTCTTATTGTGGACCAGTGCGTCAGGGTGTGCGTGAGGGGAGAATCTTCCCGTAGCAGCGTCCGGGCGTCCCTTTCATTGTACCACACCAGTGTATGCAGCTTTTTGTCTACAGTGTCCCTCCAAAGCTGGACCCATCGTTTGTGTGGCGTGTCCGTGTGTAGTTCTTTGAGTCTCTGTAATACCGTTGCCTGATGATATCTTTTGATGTCAGGTAGAGCCGGCCCACCCCAACTCCTCGGGAGGCAGAGTTTGTCGTAGCTGATCCATGCCCTTTCTCCCTTCCAGACATATTGTACGAATGCTGTTTTGAGTGCTGTAAAGAATGTGTGCGGGATTGTCTGTGGTGCTGTGTGTAGGAGGTATAATATCCATGGTAAGATGTTCATCTTTAAGACTGCTATTCTCCCGATACAGGTTATGTGAGGGTAATTCCATCTTTTGAGGTCTTTTATGATGTGTGTCAGGAGTGGAGCGTGGTTGTGAGTATAGATGTCCTTTGTTGTATGTGTTATCCACAGTCCGAGGTATCTCGTTCTGTCTGTGCACCAGTGGAATGGGAACTTCCGCTTTAGTTGCTCACATTCGTTATCCGGGACCATGACATTGAGAATTTCACATTTGGTCAGGTTCAGTTTCAACCTGGACATAGTTTTCGAATTCTTCCATTAGTGGTGTAATTGAGTCTAGCGGATTTTCGAGAAAAAACATCATATCATCAGTGTATGCGGCGACTTTGTGTTCCTGTTCTCTTTGTCTCAGTCCTGTTATCTTCCCTGATGCTTTCTAATAAAGGTTCTAGGGTTAGGTCGAATACCAGGGGCGACAGTGGGCACCCTTGTCTCGTGCCGTTTTTGATGTCGAAACCGTCTGTAAGTGCACCATTCACCCTGACTCTGGCGGTCGGTTGACTGTAAAGTGCGGTGATCCATGTAAGCATACCCATGCCCATATCTGTCGATCGTAGTGTTTCCGTCATGAAGCTCCAACCCACCCTATCAAAAGCTTTCTCTGCATCTGTGGAGAGTAACAGCAGTCTCGCCAGATGTTTTATGGCAAACAGTCGTAGGGTGCAGTCTCTTGCTTCACGTCCTGGTATGAAACCTGTCTGGTCTGGGTGTACTAATCGTGCCATATGAGTTTGTAGTCATCGCCATGATTTTGGAGAAGAGTTTGATGTCCGTGTTAAGGAGCGATATTGGGCAGTAGTTTCCGACTTGTTCAGTGTTTTTTCCTGGTTTGGGGATCACTGTGATGGTAGCCGCCAGTGCCTCCCTATGGAAGCTGTGTCCGTGTCTTATGCTGTTGAGCGCCTTGGTCAGGTACGGTAATAGTATGTGTCCGAATTTCTTGAGGTATTCCACCGGGAAGCCGTCTGGTCCCGGGGCTTTGCCCGTTTTTGCTGTTTTAAGTGCCTGTCGTATTTCCCCCTCAGTGATAGGCAAATCTAATTCCTCTGCTTCAACCGGTGTGAGGGTGTTTTGTTGTAAGTTGGTCAGGTATTCTATCATGTCCGCCTGCCTCGTGGTTGGGGATTGCCCGTCGTTTCCTTCATGTGTGTTGTATAGTTTCGTGTAGAACTTCTCAAATTCGTCTGCGATTTCCTTTGGGAACTGCGTTGTTTTACCCTGCACTGTTCGGATGGTGTGGACTTGTGCCCTATTTTGTGTGCCTCTCAACATCCGTGCGAGGAGTTTGCCCCCTTTATTGGCGTTCCTGTAGAAGAATGCACGCGATCGCTGTATAGTTCTGGCGTGTTTGCGTTCAAGGAGCTCTGCCAATTTTCTTCTGGTGGACATTAGGTAGGACTCTGTAGGTCTGCTCCTGTTGATCGCATTTGTGAGTTAATTCCAGGTCGCTGATCTTCTGTGTGAGGTCTATGATCTGGTGGCTAGTTAATTTCTTCCTTTGGGTGGCTATTCGGATGAGGTGACCTCTGACAACGCTTTTATGAGCTTCCCATACCATCATGTCTGATACTCCTTCTGTGACATTCTCCGCAAAGTATTGATTAAGGTGTTCCACCACCTGTGCCTGTATTGCCGCATCTATCAGTAAGGAGTCATTCAGCCTCCATGAGGTTCTTGTCGGTCGGAACAATGGTGATGTCGTAGACACTTGCACCGCGCTGTGGTCTGACCACGTCGTGGTGAGGAGGTCAGCCCACTGGAGGTATGTAAGCCCCTCTTGTTGCACAAATATATAGTCAATTCTGGTGTACCTATGATGTAGCGTGGAGTAATAGGTGTAGTCCCTTCCCTCTGGCTGCAGTGCTCTCCAGGTGTCTATCAGCCTTATGTCTCTAAGAGCTTTAAGTATGGTTTTAATCGAGGAGTCTGGGACGCTGCTGCTTCTGGTGGTGTTATCTGTTTGAGGGTCCAGGGGTACATTGAGGTCCCCTCCAAATAGGAGGGTTCCTTCCGTGAATCGAGATACCTCCGCCATTGTTCTTCTAAGGAAGCTGGAGCGTAGACCATAATGAACGTGTATATTTTCCGCGCTATCTCTCCTTTAATGAAGAGAAATCTACCCCCCGTGTCTTCCATCTTGTCCATAAAGGTGAATTGTAAGTGAGATGCCAGTAATATCCCTGCTTTGCGGGCCGATGGGTGGTTGCTATAAAAGTTTGTTTGGTAGCTTTTGTCCCGTAGCAACTTGTTAGTTTCTGGTCTGAGGTGTGTTTCCTGTAGGAGGGCGACTGATACATGTTGCTGCTTGAGGTTGCGAAGGAAGTGTGATCTTTTCTCCGGGGTGTTGAGGCCCCTGTAGTTTTGCGTTCAAATCACTAGGGGTGTCGGTGTGTGTGTGTCCACGTAGGTGCTGTTCAGTGAGTCCGCCTCCGTGTCCGCGAGGGCAGCGGTTTTCACATCCAGCGGGCAGGCCCGAGCGCCGCTCCAAGGGTGGCTATGTGGGACAGTAAGGGGGGGGGGGATTAGGCAGGGGGGGGAGCAGTGGGTTTAGGAGTAGTGTGTAGGTGTGTTTGTAAGTGGTGCGACTAGGTGTGGGTGGTAGGTTGTGTTGGAAGCTGTGTGTGTCCCCAATCTGCCGATGGGTCTAAGGCGTTTGTTTCGTGAGGTCGATCGGGGGTGTTAGGGGTTTTGTGGTACCCCGGTAAAGGGTAGCTCCGTGTGTCTTGGTAGATAATCAGTGTCGTACCGCCGGTCAGTTCTCCCGGCTAGGCATCGGCAGTGGTCTCCCAGTGGGTATTCTACATGGATTGTGGGTCGGATGGTGGCCTGTGCCTTTCGGGTGTATTTCTCCCATTATGTCGATTGGGGTAGTGTGTGGTAAATTATTTGTGTCCCGTGGGTCTGCGTTCCCACTATAATTATCGTTTAATAGATGCACTCATGCTATTTCATTTTGTTGTCTGAGATATAACCTTATGAGGTAGTTGTCTGGTTTGTGGATAGATGTCAATGGGGTCGTTGTCTGGTTCGCCGTTTGTGGATAGATGTCTGGCTAGTCTGCTATTGAGTGTCTTTAGTTAGGTATTGTCTCCCTTCGTGTCTGGGAAAGTTTTGAAAGCTATTGCAAATCACAAAACTCACAACTGCAGCTGCCACAGGGCCAAAGAATATTATATCTTTATTCACTGTAATATCTGGAATAAAAATTAGTGTTGTTTTCTTATGTCTATATGGATTACAAACTATTTATGACCCAAGATAATACACAAGAAGAATACCCTTCTCGTGACCTGGCCTGTTCCCCTGCAAGTTGCACTTTATATTTATTTGGACATTTTTATCTTATTTTTGGTATATTGTTTTTTTAAGGTTCTTTTATATCTTTTAGATATTTATAGTAGTAAAAACATATTTTTAGCTATACTTTTTTCTTCTTTTTTTACATACTCTATTTCTTTTTGGGGTCTGTGATAGAGCCTCATTACCTTAGGTGTGCTACCTTTGTTTTTTTTGGCTAGATAGCGCTGATCCTTTGTTCCTCTTTTTTTTTTTTACTATATCACCAAAACTCTGAATTTGGAAACTCCTCCGAGTTTTCTATGGTATATCAAATGCTCTGAGCCAGTTTAGTTTTGGAGTTTAAAGGGACACTATAGGCAACCAGGCCGCTTCAGTTCATTGAAGTGGTCTGGGTGCACTGTCCCTATTGCACTAGCTGCTTCAATGTAAAACATTGCAGTTCCATGGAAACTGCAATGTTTACATTGGAGCACTGAGTCTGCCTTCAGTGGTTATCTACCAGACATCCACTGCAGGCGCTTCCTGCATGTTAACGGACTTTTGGTCTGGTAATTGATGCTGGACGTCCTCACGGTCTGAATGAGGACATCCAGCGCCAGCTATTTCCTCATAGGAAAGCATTGATTCCATGGTTCCTATGGGGAGGGCCTAATGCTGTGCATCAAGCGACGACGGAGGAGGCGGAGCTGCGACCCACCACATAACCCTTTATTTACTGCTGAGGAGGGGCACAAGAGAGGGGGTGGCTTTGTATTCCTGGCACTACAATATCCCTTTAAGATAAAACACATGAATTAATAACTGAACTCATTGTATTTTTGATTAAAGGACCACTATAGTGCCAGGAAAACATACTCGTTTTCCTGGCACTATAGTGCCCTGAGGGTGCCCCCACCCTCAGGGACCCCCTCCCGCCCGGCTCTGGAAGGGGAAAGGGGTTAAAAACTTACCTTTTTCCAGCGCTGGGCGGAGAGCTCTCCTCCTTCTCTCCTCCTCCGTTCCTCCTCCTGGGCTGAATGCGCACGCGCGGCAAGAGCTGCGCGCGCATTCAGCCGGTCGCATAGGAAAGCATTTACAATGCTTTCCTATGGACGCTGGCGTGCTCTCACTGTGAAAATCACAGTGAGAAGCACGCAAGCGCCTCTAGTGGCTGTCAATGAGACAGCCACTAGAGGATTAGGGGGAAGGCTTAACCCATTCATAAACATAGCAGTTTCTCTGAAACTGCTATGTTTATAAAAAAATGGGTTAACCCTAGCTGGACCTGGCACCCAGACCACTTCATTAAGCTGAAGTGGTCTGGGTGCCTAGAGTGGTCCTTTAAACAAGTTGGTTGATTACATGCTCCCTCGACTAGTGCTACAACAGTTGCTGATTTTATAAAATTGCGACAAATAGTGAACTGTTTAGGCAATTGTTATAAGTTGTGGCATTGAAATATTTTGTAAGCTTCCTTTTTTTTTTTTCTTTAATGACTTCTGATGTAATTCAGTGACCTCAGATCTCAATCTTTAGCCCTGAAAATTGCATATTCAAAAATAAACAAGAAATAAAAATAATCTGATGTCCCCATAATCTAACAAACAGTCTTGATACATGCAGAACTCAATGTATCAAGCCCTTAAACGCTTAAACATGTGATGTCAATACGTTTGGGAAGGGAGCAAAGGAACAGGAAGCCAGAGGTAAAATGATAGTCTTTATGGCTCTGGAGTCTGTTTTAGTTAATACGCAGGAATATATGTTTACTACCTCAGAGAACTGTTATTTGTTTGATTATGAATTATTAATAAGTGTATATTGTAATCTGTAAAACATTTTGCTGCATGTTTAGTGACAAATACAGGAATCAGGAAGTAGAGATGATAACATCGATGCTGTTTTATACTTTGTTGTAATGGCAGTTGGGTATGAAATACATTATTATGAAGAATGATTTTACATTTTGGCTTTTGTGTTTGGTTGTGTTCCAGATGTGTTGAATTTATGTGACACTATGATAGGGTGTAATTTTTTTTCTTTTTCTTAACTTGACTTCATCAATTGATGTTCTGGAACATGCAGTTTAAAGAATTCAAGGAAAATGCCAGATGATATGTCAAGGCTAAATGCACCTAACGACTGAAAGGGTAAAAGAATGTCATTGCGGGAGACAAGGATTGCTTGAGATTGTCAGCCAAACAATAGGAAATTGCTTAAGTGCCCACCAAAAGCAAAGTAGGGTAGGCAGATAGAATCACACTTCAGGAAACAAAACTCTTACAACAAAAAAACAGGAACAAAGAAATGGCACACTGCAGGTATAAAATGGAACATAGCAGCAGTAGGCAGAAACATTTGACAAAGTAGGACATAGGTGCAACAGTGGTAAAATTATTATCACTTAGTCACTCTAATTCCAACCTAATTTACTCCTAAAATGCAGAAAGTTACAACCTTGAAGTCTTTTTTCATAGTTTGGTCCTCACAGTCTGCATGAGGACATCCAGCGCCCTCATGCAGACTGTGAGGCACAGTGCTCTTTCGCCTCACTGTGCCTGTGGAAAAATGACAAGGGTTTGGTCCTATTCAATTTTATGTTGCCTGATGAGTCATTAAGCATGTTGTTTTATTGTATTTGCTTTTCTGGTCCTGACCTGGCTTTTAGCTTGTTGCCCTGTGTATGAGGCTAAAAGTTCCTACTCCAAAGTAAAACTTGTGAATAATTCTCATTTACTACATGCTTATGCATATGCATGTTGTGTCTTTAATTTGTACCTGTTCCCACCACAGTCCAAAACAGACTAAATGCTTTACAAACATTCTGAATGTTGAATAGACCTTTCATATATTTGTCTTTTTTCCCCCATCCATATAAATATACTTTTCGGATTAGTCTCATTTGCTTTGGATCTGCGTAATGGGTTTGCATTAGGGTATTGAGTCATATAATTGAAGTTGATCAATATATATATTGATGTGCTGTGGCTAATTTTATCTATGGTACAACTACATCAATAGCAATTT